GTAATATAGAGATTGTGGTAGTGAAACAAAATTAACATTCTCACATTTCTGTATGCTAGAATTACTCACAGATTTTTTGTCTTCTTTACTTCGCATCTCTGTAAACTATAAAATATGAACGAGTGAATCAGTGTTTTGAATTACTTATATATTTCGGGTCAATTGTTGAAATGGTAAAATATTGAAATGTATAATAGAAATTTCATGTTCATTCGAAATTCAATATTCGCATTTTTATTTGGGACCAATAAAGCCCAAAAATTTCCATGGGTTCAAACAAACTTCTAATTCTAGAAACAGTATTTTATTGTATAAATTGCATTAGAAAGATTCAAAAAATAGAAATTTCTCTGAACCATTGATACTTAAATTCATAAATTTCAAATTCACCAAAGAATAATATTTTTCTGACTTGACATTTTCTTATAAGACTTATGGTTGACTATGTTGACTAGTATTGACTTGAGCTGAATTGAGCTCAACTCATGAGCTCAACTCAACTTTGGACCATCCCCCTTGTCACCATTGCTAGAGAAGTATAACAAGTTGGTACCTCACTGTAGAATGTGGATTTATGTAGGAAAAGCCATGGGGGGGAGACTCCCCGACTTAGTATATGTGGTGAATGATAAATCCTCCTAGCCGGAGAGAGTAGTCTGATAAACAAACTTGCATAGAAGGCATTAAAAATATCTTTGTATCCTAGGCATTGTATGGAAGTTTGTTGGTTGCTATCTTTGACTAAAATGAGTGTAAATTAGCATAAAGTGTCTATTGTGCAATAGATGCCAAGTTGTGGAAAATGCAATGCACTAAGAACTCTAATTTGTGTGAGAACAAAGTATCCAAATGGGATAGCTCCAAATAAAGAAGTATTCTCACATGGATTTCCCCAGCCAAAATCATTGTCACTCTCACAAATGCCAATTTCTCATAAAGAAAAGAAAAATTTAGTAAAGAAAAAGGGAAAAGACACAAAAGATATTGTGTCACTTGGTATGATGTGGATATATGTTGTCACTAAAAAAATCAAGAAAAGAAACAAAATCAAACTCCAATACTCAAAATGCCTCAAGAGCAAAACATTACATATAAAATCTCTCAACTTTGTGTATAAAATTGGGTGTGGATAGACTCGTTGGAAAGTTTAGACTCAAACCAAGAGAATGAGACCAAAATCACGAGTTAAGATGCCTAAAATCTCAAGAAATAATTGACTCAAATATCAAATTCTAGACAAAAAGAAGGAGAATACAAGAAAATGCACTCCCTATGTCGCAAATGTGACTTTGGGTATCGAAAGTTACCTATCGGCTAGTCCTTACGGACACTCTTACTTTACTGCCATGATGGCAGGAGGTCAGTATTGTTGATACCCTTTATTAGCCCCCCTCTTGTTCAAGTGTTAGTTTACTAGGCTTAGCATTTGTACTTAGCCAGATGGACATAAGGTAGGAACTTCTATGTGTTTCTAGCTGAACATACTTGGCCTGGCTCTTAGTTCTCTTTTGCTCTATCTTGCATTGGCTTGGCAAAAACTCTCGCGTATTGAGAGTAGTCCCTCAATATTGCTGGATGATAGCTTACCGTGTTTGCCAAACACCCTCGCTATCATACCCTTAGTGTTAGTCTCAATTCGGTCATAAATGCTATTTATAGAAAGTGTTTAGATTTGCTCATTTGGTATATCTATGGAATGTAGAGATCGGCTTAAACACAATGATGTTCATCCCGTGTCCAAATTCACAATCTAGCACCATTCCATATTTAGTAAGTTTCGAGCTTGTCCCAGAGACTAACTCCTGATACTAAGGGAGGCTTGGGGTGAAAGCCCAAAGTGTGTGTTCCTCAAGGGGGGGGGGGGGGGGGCGGGGCTATAGGGGGTTCCAAATGTATAGTAGGGATAGTGGGTATGTTGGGCATGGCCGGCCAACTTGAGGCATAGTCTAGCTCCCACTTGCGTGCCTGTCCTTGTTCTGTGTCCGGCTTGGGTCTAAGCCCAAGTTCCATTCCACACTAGCTGGTGGAGTACCCATGTCCTCGCGTTAGGCCACCGGTATGCCAAAATAGCACCAGACTCCGTTTGGCTCTGTTTTGCATGTTGGTCCTGGCATTAGGATGCTAGTTACTCTAGGACTGTTCCAAGTCACTCTAGGCTCTTGTCCCTTCGCTCCTTGGGCTATATGCTCAGGAGTTGCTCCGTGGTCCGGTTCCATCACTCCTTGGCTTCAGGCTTGGGAGTTTGGCACTATTCCTTCGTTCAGTGGCCCAAGGCTCTAAACCTCGGGTTCCACACCACTGTCCTATGGACACGTGGCATCTGTCACATGGCATTTGACACGTGGCACATGGGTTTAGGTTCTGTTTCATGGTGTTATCCTATGGTAAATCACCATAGGATAAAGGGTAAAAACCACATGCGCTACATTTAGTATCAAAGGATGAGTCTTGGCGAGTACTATCTAATGAGATTGGGCAACTAATCTCGTTGCATACATAGAGATGAAAACGATGATCCGAGTGGGTACACATTTGGGTGCAAAGGCTTTGCAATCGTTCCTTGGGTATGGATTTCAGTTACCTTTGTGTACTGCATTGTATGAGCTTGCTCTTGGGCTCATAAGATGGATGTGAGTTGTTCTGTTCACATGAGTTTGCGCTTAGGCTTGTGAGTGAGGCACATTAGCAACTCAAGGTTCTTTGAGTTGGCAGGATTAATGTTAGCCTATCGATGGTTCCATGAGTTGTTCCATGTACCATGGGTGAAAGTTAACCTTCCTTGGGTTTGCTGTGAGTGGCAAATAGGATGGTCCGTATCTATTTAGCACGGCACTAGTGGATCCTTCCTAGGCATGATTATAAGTGGATCAATCAAGACTATAAGGATTAGTCTATTGGTTCAAGTAGTCATGGCCGTGCTCTCTCATAAACTTTTCTTCGATTGAACTGAAGGCAGTGCGAAAGCAAGCTTGAGGTTTGGTCAAAGATGAGATCGAAAAGAGAGTCATCGGGGACGAAGGATCAAACACGTAAATCATTTTCTCTTCTTGGAGAGATGATTCGCAACAAGGTGCTAACTTATTACTCGTGTTCACATCATGCAATCAAGAGTCCCTACCTTGATGCATGTTGGAAATGATAGTCTTACAAATAGTGAGTTGTGGGATGAATAGCAATGAAGCGCTATACCATTTTGTCTAGGCTTGCTATTGGAAGACTTGGGTTGCAATGCTCAATTCTTTTCCGGGGAACCTTGCTATTGTTCTTTGAGTAGCTTGGTGTTGGATTAGTTTTAAGTTTGGTCAGAAAGAGAGTGGCATGAGCTTGTTTGTGTTGTGAACAAAAGTTAGTGGTGTCGGGTGTTGTAAATCTCTATCGGTGGGGTGTGGCATTTATGTGCATTTTGTCGAATTGAGTTGACACTTGATATTCACATAAACCTTTGCAGTAGTGATATGGGCATTGCTCATAGTGTTGCTTGATTGATGATCAAGTCATTATGATTTATATCATATCCATGTGATAATGAGCAATGTGTTTACGAAGTTGCTTGGGTAAATGATGATCAACCCCAAAGTGGTTGATGGAGAAGCTAGTCTACTTGCACGAAGTAACATTGTAGTAGCTTTGATTGGATTCTCAATGATGGTCCATTATGCTTAAGTTGGTACCTTGTTTCCTTGAGTTTGCCTGTTAGGTGTTGGAAAAGGGTTGTAGCATTCATTTACTATAGCTCATCGGTTGATCTGTTAACATTTGGAGTAGATTGTTGGATGGAGAAAATGTGTAGTTAAGGCATTGATATTGCTAGCAGTTGTGTTAGTGAAAGTGGCATTGTTGTTCGAGTGATGAGGAATTTTCCTTAAAGTTTGATTTTCCATGTCATTTTTTTTGTTAGTGTTTTGGCTTCACATTGGATCTTGAAGGTGATTGAAAAAGAGTGTTAGTGCAATGTGGATATCCGAAGATGTGGTCTTCATGATCAAGCCTTGGATGTTCATTTTGCACTTTCCAGATGTTAGAGTTGGATATCAGAAAAAATGGGCAAAGATGTTCGATGCTTAAGCATATTGATGGATCATAAAAATCTGTGTTGAGGTGAGCCTATGTGAAGTTGTTAGTAGGAGGAAGTTGGTTGAGTCTTAAAAGTTTGCAATCCTGAATTGAGAGTCATTCTTTCTCTAAGATGGAAATTTTCCACAAATTTTCTTAGACTTCTCCAATGGTTGATCTGTTAGCCACTTTGCCGAAAACCATTCTGTTTTCATAAGCCAGTACAAACTAGTGAAGGGGTTGGAGTTGACTCCGGTTAACTCTTGCATCTGATCACAGCCCCTTCTTTTCCACTCTAGATGAGCTTGTAAAGGCACTTGTAAGCATCACAGCATCGTTAAAATGAAAACATTCCAGAGACAATCGCAAATGCAAGGAATTGCCATACAATGAAAATCCTTGGAAGACTATGGACAAAGTCCAGTGCTTAGAACTCATCCAATCTTGCAAGAGCTTGGCTTTGGCTGAGGATCTGCATGCCAGTAACAGTGCCAAAACTGATGATGTTTTCCTGTGCAACAAGCTCATCGCAATGTACACGAGGTGTGGAAGCTCATTGCACGCCAAACAAGTTTTTGATACCATAGGGATGTCTACTCTTGGGATTTCATGATGAATGCTTACTCGAAGTATGGCAGCCTTGAGAATGCAAAGGGATTCTTTGATTCGATGCCTCAGAGAACTACTGTTTCTTGGGTTGCAATGTTAAGCTCATATGCCCGTTCTGGGCATCTAGAGGAAGCCGAAAATACCTTTGCAAGGATGCCAGATGCCACTACAGTGGCTTGAAACTTTATGATTGACGTGTACGTTCATCATGGATTTCTTGAAAAGGCGAACATTTTGTTCGATAGAATGCCAAAGCAAACATTAGTTGCTTGGACCACTATGCTTGTGCATATGCCCAAAGAGGGTACCTTGTTCTTGCCAAGAGAATGTTTCACGCGATGCCACTACGAGATCTAATCTCTTGGACGGCCATGTTCAACGCGTATGTGCAGAACGGGACTGTTGAAATGGCGAGAATTTTTGTTGATCTCATGCCGGAATGGGATCTCGTATCGTGGACAGCAGTGCTCACTGCGTATGTGAAGAGAGGAAACTTTTCCGAAGCCAAGCAAACTTTTGATCAGATGCCGTTTAGAAACTTGGTGTCACGGACGTGCTTGCTGGACGCATTTTTACAGGTCAAAGACTTACAAGCTGTTAAAGAAACGTTCAGAGCAACGATCTTGTAGCTTGGAATGCAATGCTCTCTGCATGTGCCCATCTTGGAGATCTGCAAAACGCGGCGATAATCTTTGAAGCTATGCCCGAACGAACAAATGGCTTCTTGGAATGCAATGCTTTCAGCGTATGTGCATGACAATAAGTTAGAAGAAGCAAGAGTGATTTTTGATAGTGAGCCGAAACACGATCTGGTTTCATGGACAATTATACTGTGTGCTTATGCCCAAAGCGGGCATCTGGATGACGCAAAGAATATCTTTGAAATGATGCCACAAAAGACAATAGAGGCGGCAAATGTAATGCTGTCAGCTCTTGCACAAAATAAGTACCTGTCGGAATTTAGAGAACTTTTTGTAAAGATGCCACAGCATAGTACAATGTCGTGGAATGCTCTTTTGTCAGCAAATGCACTGAACGGGCACTTGGAGGAAACAAGAAGGGTTTTCGACATGATGCCTGAAAAGGATCGGATTTCCTGGAATACAATACTCTCAATAGAGGCCCAGAAAGGGATGATAAGTAGAGCCAAGGAAATCTTCCAGTACGAAATGCCAGAGTGGGATGTTGTGTCTAGCACTGTAATGATCTCGACTTTTTCCAAAAGCGGCAAGTTTGAAGAGGCTAAGCAGCTTTTCGACACAATGCCATTTCAGGATTCAGTCTCTTCAACAGCCATGGTTCTCAACTTTGGCCAAAATGGGCAAGTGGAAGATGCTAAGGGCTTGTTTGAAAGAATCTCTCCGTAAAACAGAGATGTTGTGTGCTGGAATGTGATGTTTGCAACTTATGCCCAAAATGGACATCTACTGGATGCGAGGGAAGTGTTCAACGACATGCCACGGAAGGACACAGCCTCCTGGACTGCAATGTTGTCTCTCTATGCTCAAACCGGCCACCTCTTGCATTGTAGAAAGCTCTTGCTTGAGATGCCCGAGAGGTGCTTGGTCGCTTGGAGCTCGTTGCTAGCCAGCTGTGTTTGTAGTGGTAACTTTAGTGAAGCATTGGATGCATTTTACAATTTGAGAGACGATTGCTTTCTTCCGGATGAGATTTGCTTCATGTCTGCCCTTGCGGCATGCAGCCAAGTAGGCAAGGTTTATCTTGGAGATGCTTGTTTGTGTCTATGAGCGTTGACTATGGGCTGCAAGCATTGAAACAGCACTACAGTTGCATGATTGATCTCTTGAGCCGTGCAGGGCATTTGCGTGAGGCTGGCGAGTTGACATCATGCATGCCATTTGTTCCAGAAGTTTTGGAGTGGTGTTGTTTGCTTAATGGGTGTAAAATCTATGGCAACCTTGAGTTGGGAGCCTTTGCTGCTAAGCATGTCACAGAGCTGGACCCAAAGCTCAACATGGCATATATTCTCACGGCCAATGCTTTTTCAGTCCTAGTTTGATATTATGGCATGATCTGGATCTAAATGGGTGTTCACGTGGAGATTGACCAGACGGTGGTAAAGCAATATCGTCTGAGAGCAAGAGACTGTCTTCCAACTCCCTTAACTTTGAACATTGGTGACAAACTATGTTTGTAGTTATTCAAAAGATTTATAAAGGTTATAAAGACTAAGCTAACCCAGACCTTGAGCATCAACCTCATGTTAAAATGTAAGTCTCATGCCTAGAGAGAGGCAATCCATATAAAATTGTTGTGATTTCCCAATCAATACATCAGTACAAACAAAGAATTTCCTTATCAATTAGTGAGGTATCTATCAACCAAGCATACACATAAAGAAGAAAAATGTATAATAGGTTAACTGCTATCTTAATTATATTTACTAATTGAGTCAAGTTTAAGTTAAAATGAATTTTAATCATAGTATCCAAGCTAGGAAATGATATTCTTGGCCCAATGGTTTTGCAACCTGAGCAACATCTACTGCACAATCACTAGTAGACTTGGTAGCTATGTCCTATAGGAACCCCAAGAGCTCTTGTTCTTGTGCCTACACAATCCCTTATATGAGGAGTTTTCCAAGAGAAAAAAAAAATTGATAAGTGATGCAAGAGGGCTATAGACTTATAGTAGGCAACATTTTTTGTTGTTTGCAATCCATGGTTGTGCCTCAACAATTCTCTACCCTAGCATTTAATCTCCTAGATTTGCATCTATATAGCACACTTGAATTTGAAGCTAAATTCTAAGTTTATTGCAATACAATATGAGGGTCTAATATACACTCAATATCCCTTATAAACATCAACTCCCCATATCTAGCTCTTGTATGCAAAACAATGTCAAATGATATCTAACACAATTTTAACATACCAATGGCTTAACGTGAGGAGGTCAGTACCATAGAGTTTAAGGTTAAACCCAAATTAGACTTAGAATAAGGAATGACACAACCTAGTGGAAGACAAATTAATGTGTTAAATGCTCTACTATGTTTCTAATCACTATCTCTATTACATTTAAAACCCCCCACAGTGCCTTAGTCCTAGAAGTTAGTTCCTGAGACAAGCTTAAAAACTTATTAAATATAGATTAAAACTAGATTGTGAATCAAGATGTGAGAACAATACTATAGTTAACAAATAAGTTTCTTTAACCAGGTCAAATATGCTTAACTAATAGCATTTAGGAATTTTGTTTTTATGCTCATTTGGTTGAGTGCACATGCAATAACCAATTTCTCAACTAGTTTATAAAAGGAACCAACAATACTAATCTCTTGCTTGTAAGCTTCTGAATTTAAACTTCCCAAGAGGTTATTCAACTTAGTACTATTCAAACTTAAAAATGGTAACACCAAATATCCCAAAACCATTAACCGATTTGAAAAGCAGGTACACTCTGTTTATGGGACTTTTCCTTTTATATTTGAACCCCTATAAATAGTTTCTCAAGTTGTTTTCTTTGATTATTTATATTGCCACTGTGAGGGCCAAGTGTACAGCTACGATGCCGTATACTAATATTAGCGTAGTGGGATTTTAGTAGCTGTCGGATTGGTTTCAATCCAGACCACTCACTCTTGTATAGAAACTAGGGTTTTTTGGGCTAATTGACATGCACATTTTTATATTCCCTTTCCATATTCCAAGCACCCACATTGGTGGAGATGAGGGGCATCTTTGATTATCCTTAAGGAGTGCCTAGATTTGGGATTTTGGTTTAGATTTAGCTTTTGCATTGTCTAGATCTAGTTTTTTCCATTTCCTTTCTTTTGTTCTTTCCTTTCAGGATTTTGGTTTAGATCTAGCTTTTTGCATTGTCTAGATCTACCATTTCCTTCTAGCTTTTTGTCATTTCTCTTCTTTTGCTCTTTCTTTTTCATTCGTCTTGCAGATCAACAATCTCCTCCTTTGACTCTGGAGTAGCAGTTGGTACAATTGCTTGATGCTATGCGCTTGCAATTGAACAACCAAACTTAGTTGATGGCGGCATTCACGGCATGTGGTACAACTTCTCTTGCACTTGGTGCCAATCCTCGTGTTCAACCGGAGTTCTTTCGCGGGAATCCTGGGGATGATGTATACCATTGGTTTGATTACTTCACAGTGATTGCCACATATCATTCTTGGGATGATGCTCGACGTTTGCGTGAGTTTCCCACGTGTCTCCAAGGGACAGCGTTGCAATGGTACAATGGTTTGAGCGCAACCATTCGTGGGGATTTGAGTGTTCTCCCGGACGTCTTCAAACGTGCCTTCGGATATGCCAATGACTGTGATAATGCCTTCCAACAATTGCATCATCTTCGCTAAGGGCCATATGAGTCGGTGATGCAATTTGGCGTTCGTTTCCAAAGTCTTTTGCTTCGTGTGGAGCCAAATATGTTGGAGCGGATCAAGCTAGGAATGTTGTGGCTAGCATTTCGTCAAGATCTTGTCAGACTTGTGCTTGCACTTGCTCCCGCCACCTTTGACGATGCTCTTTGCTTGGCACAATGTTATGAGACGTCACCTCTTCCACTTCTTGCTGCACGTCCTTCAGCTCCACTTCCTATAAGTGATGGTCCTGTTCCAATGGAGGTTGATGCTACTGCTGCTCGAGTCCAAGGACAAGGGCAAGGACGTGGTTGTGGCCGTGATGTTGGCTGCTGGGTGTGTGATTGTAGCGCATGTGATCATGGGATGAGATTTGGATATACTGTCACCGTGGATCCTTGGAACCTTGGGAGATAAATGGGGATAAAATAGCCACTAAGGGCTCTCTCATCAAGCAATTGCCCCTTTTCTAGTTGGCTTAAGGGGAGAGAGATAAGGTGCGCTACAGTTGGTATCGGAGCAAATGGCACGGGTTCGATTCCCATTGATTAGTGGCTACTTAAAAGTATAATATACCCTTGAGCAAGGTATATTCTTACCCCTAAAATTTGAAATCGTACGTATTGGGCATCCATGCGTACGTCCTTCCTCTTGTGTGGAGTATCCACGGACGAAGGTATCCACCGTGGGACTGCGGTACGGGTGGATGACTAGTTGCCTCACATGGAATAGCTGGTCTACACAATGGAAGGATTGGTAGATTGAGTGCGGAAATGGAGGTGCTGGTTCCCCTTGGCTCAGTAGGGGTTGTTAGTCAATAGTCAATGAGGACATTGACATCTCTGAAGGGGGGGTGAGTGTAGCGCATGTGATCATGGGATGAGATTTGGATATACTGTCACCGTGGATCCTTGGAACCTTGGGAGATAAATGGGGATAAAATAGCCACTAAGGGCTCTCTCATCAAGCAATTGCCCCTTTTCTAGTTGGCTTAAGGGGAGAGAGATAAGGTGCGCTACAGTGATGAAGTTGGTCATACTTATCGACGTTGTCAGTGTTTTCCGGATTGGTGACCTCCACTTCCTAGGTGGAGACCTTGGCATCAACAACGTCCTGTTGGTGCTGCTGTAGTGGATGGTTTGGACACCGAGATACATCCGGGAAATGAGGAGTCGCACGAGTAACAAAGGGACCTTGCGTGAATAAGTCAGTGACCCCTCCATCTTTTTTTTGGGAGTATCATCAAGGGGTTCACTCGGCACCGGTTCATCCAGTGTTTACTTTCCAAGCTCATTTTTATAACAAAAGGTCTCCTATTATTCTCTCCATGTTAGTTAATACAGGTTTGAGTTTATCTTCTATTGCTCGACCTATTGCCACATGTTGCTGTCTACACTTACGTCGTGTGACGGAACCAATTTTCATTCTTTATGGCAACGGCTATACATATGCATGGGATGAGGTGGACCTGGTTGTGCGTGTGGGCGATCTCGAGCTTGAGTTGCAGTTATTGTGGGTGGTGCTGAGTCAAGCTTTTGACATCATTCTTGGTATGGATTGGTTGCAGTGCAATCATGCTAAGTGTGATTTTGAAGCTTCTCCCCCTTGTCTCATACTTCCTTATGTTTCATCAATTCCTCTCACTTTTATACTTCTTTGTCCCTCTACTTTTACCTCTGCTTCCATTACTTTTGTTTCCCCACTATTTCCTTTTATGTTTCCATCTTGTTCTACTCTTCCCTTTTCCGATCCCTCTGACGATCTTTGTGTTGCAGCGGTGGACCGGCTCATGAAGGAGTATTCTGATCTCTTTGAATTTGACCTATTGTTTGGGGCCAAGATTGCCACACGTCATCCAATTCCAACCGGGGATGCTTGTCCAATCAAGGTTGCCATTCGTCATCGGTCACCCAAGGAGATCAAGATTTTATGTGCAAATGTCAAGGAGATGTTAGAGAAGGGTGTTATTCGGAAGTTGCGGAGTCCTTGGGCATATGAACCTCATCTTGTGATGAAGTGGGAGTATTCATTTCTACATCGACTATCATCCGTTAAATGAAGTGACGATCCCAGATGTGTACCCTCTTCCTCACACTACTAATCTCTTGGATCGTCTAGGGCGAAGTCATTGGTTCACTAAGCTAGATCTTGCTTCTGGGTACTGGCAAGTACTGGCAAGTACCGATGGCTGAAGAAGATATTCCTAAGACTGCTTTTCGTACACCATTTGGTTTGTACGAGTTCTTGGTGATGCCGTTTGGTTTGAACAATGCTCCAGCAACTTTCTAGTAGATGATGGACGAGATTCTTTGCAATATGCCAGAGGTGACTGCTGACTTCATTGATGATGTCTTGATCCACTCAGAGGGGACGTGGGATGTTCATGATATTTGTAAAGTGTTGGATCAGTTACGTGATGTTGGTTTAAAGCTGAAGCGGACAAAGTGGGTGTTTGGGTCCAAGGATACAACTTATCTTGGGTACCATATTTCTCGTGAGGGTTTGCAAGTTGATCCTGAAAAACTTATGGCTATTCTAAAGTTCCCTACTCTAAAGTGTGTGAATGATGTGCAGCGCTTCTTGGGCAAGGTGCAGTATCTCAGTCGTTTTGTGGATCATTTTTCTGATCGCACTGCACTGTTGTGAGCGTTGCTGAAGTTATCAACATCATCTTTCATCT